TGGCCATGCCTCAATCCCTTCTCCTCCATTCTTCTCTTGGGATCTTGGGCACGCACACACACGCACCTGCGTGAATTTAAGCCACTGGGTACCGGAACTTGAACCGCCGTCGACTACATGGGAGTCCAGCGACATAGCCATTACGCTAACTGCTGGCCCCAACAGGTACATTTCTGTCTGTGAGGGAAATAAGGTAGACTGCTGAGAGGGCAAGTGATGGGGGAGGGGAGGTGGCCAACCTTGAGTGATCAGGGGAGAGGCCCAAAGGAGGGATATTTGAGCAGAGCCCTCAATGCTTAGAAGGATCCAGCCAGAGACGGTCTAGAGGAGGAGCCTCCTGGGCTAGGGGCCAGCTATGCAGAGCCCCAGTGGGGAGCAGCAGGAAGAGGCTGTGAGCAGGTCTGGACCTCACGGCCCTGGGGTGGTTTGTGTCTTCCTCTGAGTAGTGCCCTGAGTGTTTTGAGCAGGAAGATCTACTCCAGAAGTACTAGGTGTCACCTATCCTCCCAAGAAGCATCGCTGTTGCTGAGGAGCTGGGCGACAGCACAGCCGTGCTCAGGTGCTCACTGATGCTGGGTAGGAAGGCTGCGATCCCAGAGGCTGAGCCAGAAAAGGCTAGAGAGGCAGAGGAAAGAAGGGTGGGCGTGTGGTGGCCAGGCAGAAGCAGGGCTCAGGAGGGAGGGAATGGCCAGCACAGCCTGGAGGAGGAGCAATCAGCAAGGGCATAGAGGAGACCGAGGAGTGTTTAGTCCGCGGAGAGATGGATGCAATAGCCAGATGGAGAGGGCTGAGGTGAGAGGCAGGCAAGGCCCTGAGGCGGGGGAGGCGCGGGAGGTGCATGCCCTGAGAACTGTACCACAGCTAGATGGTGGTCCCCGCCCACACAAGCTGCCAGCTCCAGATGCTGCTCCTGGGGGTGACCCGGTATCTACGCAGGGCTTGGCACTCCGTACACACTCACCAGATGGCCGCTGTATGATAGTACTCAGCTCCTGGCACTTCTCTTCCTGCCGCTGGTATTTGCTCCAACGTGCAGGGCACAGGGTACCGCTGGGCCAGAGAGCCGTCCCTCTAACCGCTGCACCCAGGCACGGCCAGGCTGGCTGTGCCACCAACTTCCTCACCATCGGCCCTACTGCCCTGCAAATGGCCTCTGCTGGCACCCGCCTTTTCCTTTGGTGTCACATACTTGCTGGGGTGCTGAGGGGATGAAAGGAATTTAGTCCTACGGGGTAGGAGGGGTGTCAGCCGAGAGAAGGAGGAGGAGATTTTTCAGTTCTCCATGAGCCAAGCAAGGGAAGCAGAACAAGCCTTCGCACCATGAGACGGGAGGAAGGGAGCACGAAAGTTTGTCCAATGTCACAGATGTCACAAGTCCTTTTATTTTGTTTGCCTGAGGATATGTGTGCCTGCCAAAAGAGAAAGGGAGGGAGAGAGAGAGCACACCCCTATGGAGCGTGGTCTTGCTACAATCTCTTCATCTTTTCATCCTGTTTTGTATTTGAGGCACACGTGCACACACACCGAGCATGTTTTCAAACTGCTAGGGCTAGGATGTGAACCTCAGCCGGCCATGTGAGATCTGGCTCCCTTAACCACTAGGCTACAGGGCTGACCCCCAAGCCCAGTTCTTGTAGAGGACCTCCTGCAGAGTGGGTTTGGCCTGGGGTTTTGCCCAGTGACCCACGTCCAGGCCCAGTTCCCCTCCCTAGTGACCCTGTGACTCCTGGCACCTGTGACCATCTTCACCTCCTGGCCCTAATGACCTTCTGCACTTCCCCTGGAGCCTCCAAACCTAACCTCTCCTGCCCACTGGGCTTCCAAAGCTAAACAGAGGGGGGGACAGCCTGCCTGGGGCACACCCACAGCCAATGGCCTGCCCCAGGTTTCGTATCTGGGTGTTTTCACCCTTGCTGCTTCCTTTTAGGGCAATGCCAGGAAGGAGCGAAGGAATTCTGTATTGTTCTAGCAGTGAGGGGGCTGGAACAGCACCTCAAAATAGAAACAGCCTCTGGAAGGGAGAGGAAGAGAAGGTTCAGGAACTTGTAATCAAGACGGTCTAACTTCTGAATCTTACTAGGGATGCTCGATGCTCCAGAAGTTGCTATGGCAACTCCCCCACCCAGCCCTGCCTTTTCTCCCCAGTTAAGGAACACTTACCATTTGTAAGTGTTGGGCTTGATATGTTCTCCACCTACCTTATGTAGCAGGGGCTGTTCTTTTCACGCTACAGGTGAAGAAACTGAGGCTCAGCGAGGTTAAGTCACTGTAGAAGGTTGCACAGTACGGTAGAGGCACAGAAAGGACTAGAACCCAGGGATGCTCACTCCAGCTCCTTCTGTGTCCCTCACAGACCCAGGCAACTGCTGTCTGAGAGCGGAGAGGGCAGAAGGTCAGGATTTCAACACCTTGCACTCCGCAGGTTCAGCATTGGGTCCCACTCTCTCTATGGAACAGCGGCCCTCACACTCACTGTGAACTAAACGGGAGCATTGGGACATGGCCTGTTTGGTCGTTGTACACATTTGTGCTGTCAGTCTGCGGGCACTGTGCCAGGAACCAGCCCTGACAGATTTGTTCACTGGGGACAGCTGGCCAATGCCAGGTGTCATTCTAGGTGCTCGCGCTGACTTCAGGGACTTGCAATCTGGGGGTGGGAGAGACACTCAGCTGGAAAGCCGCACTGGACATACTGCAGCGGGGGCCCTGGGGCACACCGAGAGACTCGGATGACCTGGAGCTGGGAGTGGTGGTCAGCTTCTGCTGGTGGCATCTGGAGCAGGTTACTTAACCTCTCTCGGCCTCCGCTTCCTCATCTGTGACATGGGCTCTTGGCTATTCCAGAGGGCTGGATGAGGAGACGCAAAGGCTCAGCACGGCCTCAGTGAACTTCAGCCACTCCTGTCGTTCAGCCAGGGTGTGGGCCCCACGAGGGCACATCCGGCCTGCTTGTCCCCTGCTGTGCGGCCAGCGCTGAGAGCTGTGGCTGCCTGCTGTGCGGCCAGCGCTGAGAGCTGTGGTTGGCAGGCATGGTGGTATTCAGAAACTCCTGGTTAAATGAGTGCATAGAAAAGGTCCGGGACATTGGGAAGCGGCAGGACTATGCCAGTTGGCCTGGAGCTGACCTATGGCCCTCTTCCGCTCTGGTCCCCCTTCTATCCACCCATGCTCCGGAGACACCCTAGCACCTGCGTCCCTCCACAGCCTGGGACCTGCACTCACATGCTAAGGTGCCCCGCTACTCACCTGCGTTAGGAGCCCATCTCCCTGCTTTCCCCAAAGGGACGGGTTTTGGGACTGTCCCTAAAACCGTTTATCTTGTGTGACGAAAGTGCAGCCTTATATCCAGCACCTGCCTCTTCTCTTGCTGTTGTTTTTCCCCAGGTGGGACCATGCCGCATCAGAGGTCCTCCACCGGGAATGACTTCACACCTCCTCTCCCCCCTCCTCCCCGCTCCCTCAAGGACACCTGACAATGTCTAGAGACAGTTTGATCATCACAGCTGAGCAGGGCTGTGCTGTTGGGATCTACTAGATGGAGACCAGGGTGATGCTGTTACCCCACAACACACAGGACATCCCCCAAGACAAAGAATTATCTAGTCCAGAATGCCAGCAGTGTCTAGGTGGGGAGACCCTGTCCTACGCAAAGATACTGCATCTGCATTGGGACCAGCAGTTGGCCTAATGGCTATGTCGCTGGACTCCCATGTGGTCGACTGCAGTTCAAGTCGCGGACCCAGCAGCTTGAACTCATGCCGAGTACGTGTGCATGTGTGCCCAAGATCCCAAGAGGAGAATGGAGGAGAAGGGATTGCGGCGTGGCCATGCCCCTTTGGGGGTGATTTCTCTCTTTCTGCCTCTTTGTCTCTGTCTTTCTGTCGAGCACACGCACCCTATAGCAAAAACCTTTCCAAAAATAAATAAATAAATAAGAAGATTTTTTTTGCTAAAAGGGCACTTGCCAGAGAGACAGAAAGTGAGAAATCACCTCCTACGGGGGATGGCCATGTCACAACCCCTCCTCTTCCATTCTCTTTTCGCACACACATTCCCAGAGTGAGTTTCAATCCTCTGGGTCTGGGACTCAAACTGCGGGTTGGTCATGTGTGAGTCCAGCAACATAATCATTACACCATCTGCTGGTCTCTGCACCTTGCTTTTTTAAAAAAATGTATTTGTGGATTATTCACATCAGCATTTATAGATCACCTCATTATCCTTTGTGACCATGTAATAAACCACTGCAGGCATGCTTCACCATCTTCATTTAGGTGTTTGCAGTCTTTGGCTACTGGAAACATTCATGCTGCATGGAACGGTCTTTTTTGTATACATGGCTTTGTCCTATGAGGTCAAAAAAAAAGAAAAAACAAAAACAACTGATGGAGGTGGGGCTGGTGATTCACAATTCACATGATTCAGTAACATTTCAAATGATCTGTTACAGATTTCAAGTCTTTGGGGCACAGTCTGTTTGGAGAGAGGGCCTAAGCAGGGCCAAGGTCCTCCAAAATCTGGTGGAGAGGTGTTGTTTTGGTTCATTTTGTGGCTAGGGACAGAAAATGCCCGAAACTGAGTGAGCTGTAATAGAGGCTTATCTAGCTCATGGCTGAAAGTCCGGAACCCTCTCCGGCAGGGATCTTCTGGCTACCCCACAGCGCGGCGAGGCAGGAGAGCATGGTCCGCAGTCCCCATGTGCGTCCATTCCCTCTCCTTATAAACGCGAGAGTTAATCATGAGGGCCCCTCCTCAAGCATCTTAATTCTAATCCTATTCTCCAAAGCCCACCTTTCACCACCATAATTGGATCAAATTTTCACCCTATAATCCTGTTAGGATGGCTCAGCACGTAGACTGTGGGGGCCATTTGAACCACAGCAGGCGCCCTTTATATCCATGGCCTAGTGTCTGACCGCCCCTCTCTCCACAGGACGAGAGTGTCCCCCACCTGAAGACAAGGAGCCAGGTCCCGCGTGACGCCCCTGAGCTGAGAGCCTGCAGCCTGCCTGAGGAGCCCCACCGCCCCACCTTTCCCCATGGAGAAGGGACTCGTTCTGCCCCAGGACTGCTGGGACTTTGTGCACAATCTCAGGATGAGGAGCAAATATGCCATTTTCCTGGCTTTTGTGGTGGTAGTTTTCGTCTTCATTGAAAAGGAAAATAAAATCATATCGAGGTGAGGGACGCAAGTCTTCCTTACCCAGGTGGCATGGGTTGGGGGCGCAGAAGTAGCTGTGGGGCTGTCTGGACCCGCAAAGGCATTCCTCCCCCAAGCCATCAGGCCCTCCTGAGTCCCAGGTAGCAGGTCTTGCACACGGCCTCATGACTGTAGAGTGCAGGAGGAGGGCTCTAGACCCAGGTAGCCTGGGTGGGAACCCCACCCGAGCCCCTCCCAGCCTGAGAGCTTAGGCAGGATACTTCGCTGTTCTGAGTCTTCGGTTCCTCTCCGGTAAAACGTGACAAAAGACGGGACCTGCCTTGTCATAAAAGTTAAACCAGAAAACGTGAAGGTATTTAGGCCCATGCCTGGAGTGAGGCCGGTCTCCAGCACTTACTGGCTGTGATGACGATGACCTCCTGGTCTGGAATGATAGCTCGCATTAGTGGCACATCACTTATACAGACCTCGGTGTCATGGGTGCCCCGGTGTGGGCACTCTGGTGGGCAGAGGTGCCATGTGCAGCAGCCCAGGCTGTGGACTGCTTGAGTCCAGGAGACTGTCTCTCAAAAGGCTATTCTAGAAATACTTTTCCTCGGGACCAGCAGTTGACATAATGGCTATGTCACTGGACTCTCATGTAGTCGACCACAGTTCAAGTCCCAGACCCGGTGGCTTAAACTCACATCAGGCGCATGTGTGTGTGTACCCAAGATCCTGGGAGGAGAAGGGAGGAGAAGGGATTGTGGCGTGGCCATCCCCCCTGGGGGATGATTTCTCGCTTTCTGTCTCTCTGTCTCTCTCTTTCTGGCGAGTGCACGTGCCCTATAGCAAAAATCCCCCCCCC